TATTTCAAGCTAAATATTTTTTCAACGTACTTTGATACGCAGTACTAAACGAAAATCCAAAGTATAAGAAGAACTAAAAAATAAATGCCTTGAAAGTCTGAGGTTCCAATTGCGTAAACATTTATTTGTATGATTTAATTTTCGAAAAATAATATGGCTAGCCTCTCTTAAACTTTCATATGTTATAGAGAATTGTAAATTAAAATAGGTTTTTTTATTTTACAAATATTAGATGTGAAATCTTTTTTTCTTCTCTATTTCCCCTTAATTTCTAAGACCTTATTTAAGAAGTTAGTAAGTATAAGTATATAGCGAGAAAGACTCGTTGCTTTCTTTCGCTATGATATACGCGGGTATATATAGTTATATAGCTGTAGTCGGCATTTCCATGCACACCACTCCTCTCTCCGTAGGCACATATTCAGTATACCCCTTCCACGCGTCTCCAAAGTATGTGCCTACATGCCCATTTCCACGCGAATCCGTAGGCACACACTCGGTATACCCCCTCCACGCTTCTCAAATAAAAAAAAATATGTGTGCCTGGTTCGACCTCTTGGCCGCGACGGGGCGCTCGAAACAGTGGCCAAAAGTGAACTCGCGCCGTAGCATTGCAGCCAGCAATCTCTCTACTAATCTCTGTTAGAGCGTTACATTATGGTACAGCGCATAGAGTGAGTAGACTAATAAAGGCTGAGCTCAAAGTGTAAAAGAAAAACTTACTGCCGCAACTCTATTAGAAATTCAAAAACGTCATAATACGTACAGATCCAAATATTTTTTTATGTTTTTTTTTATACAATAACGAGTAATATTGTAGTATAAAAAGTGCGATGGTGTCCAAACGATCTGTTGTATACCAAGTGTACCTAGTATACCTAAACCTAGTACAGAAATGAGTAAAGAGATTGATAACCCCAATGCTACGATGTGAGACGACTTTTTGGCACTGATCGGGGCGACTCGCAGCAGCCAGCCGTCGAACCAGGTGCACATTTTTTGAACCAGCGCGAATTGTTTTGAAGAGTGTGCACGTACGAGGAGTGGATTCGCATGGAAATAAGCATTTAGATGCACATTTTGGAGATACGTGGAAGGAAGTATACCGAATGTGCGCTTACGAACAGAGGAGTTGAGATGTTAGCTGTAGCTGTACTTATAGCTGAGCATTCAGCCAAATCAACCAACGACACGAGTTTTTCTCTATTTTTACGG